AAGTGCCATGATTCACTGAATATGGCATCACACTTGAAAAATCAGGAGATTTGGTTGCTATTTCTTGTCTTTCACCACCTGGATTTGTGACTTTAAGGAAGATCTGGAGTCACAATCTCTGTACAATATCTCAGTTATTACCTGCACTTACCTTTGCAAAGGGCTGTGAGATCTGAAAATGCAATTCTCACATTTTTAAATACTGATATTTTAATTTTTATGCGCTGCAGTACTGAACGGCATCTTAAACATTTCTTACTTGATTTGCATTTCGTAATAAATGCTGCAAGCCGAGTCAAAGCCCAGGGCTGTGGGTTACTGAGTGTGAACACGCGTGTGCATCTCAACGTACCCTAACGCTGGCTTCTCTGGCTGTAAAGCTCTGCCGTCCCTGTTTTATTCGTGCAGGTAGCAGCCACTGCAGAGGGTTTCTCTTGGGCTTTGCTTTTCTTTGAAGTTCTACCAAGGATCTCAGCTTGGAGAAGAGATTTTTATTTCTTTTAGCAGCAGGAAGGACGTGCCCTGGGTCAGTAAACCGTGACGCTGGCTGGGATGGAGTGTTTGTAGAGCCTGTGGCCACCCAGGTAGGACAGTATGTAGGAGTGGGAGCATTTTTTTTCCAGAGAATCTCTTAAAATGTTTGTGATTTCAATGAAAAGAGAGAGAACCCGGGTATCAGCAGGTATCTACATCAGCTCTCGAGTCGATTCGTGCCGTGCTGCACCACGCTGGGGCTGTTGCTTCCGAGGCTGAGCGGGTGTCCGCAGCTCCAGCGGTAGCTCAGCCCAGCCCGCAAAGCCAGGGTGGTTTCGTGGTGTCCGGGCTCTCCTGTGCAGGAAGCCCCGTTCCCACTGCTGGTTTTTCAGGCTGTGGACACTGCTGTCAGTGGTGAGAGGTTCGTGGGTTGTTGCTAGCTATTTAGTGGACCGTTGTCTCTTAAGAAGATCGATCAGTGAAATTTATTCTGCAGCGTAAAATTTCTGGGCCTGTTCTCATGATGAGGAATGCTGAAGCTGAATGCCCTTTTCCTCCAGGAGAACGATCCAAAGGAAAACTGGGAAATATCTATCTTGGAATGGACTAAAGAGTGGTCGTGTCACGAGTGATGAAGTGCACACTTGTGCACCGTGCTCAGCAGCAGAGCAGGCGTTCATTTAAGAGGAGACTCTTGCAGCATACAGCATTGAAAACACATGTCTAATAGGTGCATTCATTTTAATATGCTCGTTCATTGAGCAGGCCTGATTAATTAGTGCGTGTCACCATCTGGTACTTACCGAGACTATTCATTTTTAAAATGTTGAAATTGTAGGGAATGTTGCACACCAATTAAGTTCCTTTTAATTGGATTATGTTAGTATAAAGTATTACTGGAGAAGGCCTTCATTGCCATTCAGGCAGCATGCGGCTGAGGGAGACCTGCCAGGCTGCAATTGCAGAGAACAAAGGGGAGCTGCTGAAACGCATGTTTATCACCATCTTTGTGCTCTCAGCAAAAAAGATGTCACTAAACCGGAGCCACCAGAACACTTCTGCGTTTCCTGGCGCGCGGGTGCTCGGCTGCTGTGGCCCCTCGCTGCCCCGCGACGCTCGATCCAGGGTCGTCTCGTGCTGCCGCAGGTGGAACCTGCTCTTGCCCTTCTTGTGTTTGGCACCGAGGCGAGGGGCCGAGAGGAGCCGCGTTGTGCCAGGAGCTCCCAGGTGTTCAATTCTCTGCGCCGGCTCCACCGCTGAGCGCACGAAGCGTCGTGACTTGCGGCTGCAGCACCACGTTGGGGCAGAGCTGGGGGAATTTCAGTTGCTTCGTGTCAGTGCACTGCAGCGTTTCCAGGTGAGGTGAGAAGGGATGCTCTTCACCTTGCAAGGAAAGCTTTGGGGTTGAGGGGTGACAGGCACAACGCTGACACGCTCCATGTGCTGTCAGAGCTTTCTTCAGAAGCCTAATGCTGTTCTGTTTTTAGCATCCTGGGGTATTGTCACCTGGATTTTGCTGAGATTTTCTATCATCGAGTAACTCTTCCCCAGCTAGCGGTGGCCCAGGAGGCAGGAGCAGCAACGGTGCCTACCTGTTCCCTGTACTTCCGTGGGCCGTAAGTGCAAACGGGGAAGCTGGAAGGAGAGTACCCGGAGCTCCACAGCAGCTCGGGGGCTCAGGGGAGGCCTGCCCGGGTCTGTGGGAGCAGTGTCTGCACGTCCGAGCCCCAAGAAGCTGCTCCGTGCGCGTTGGCCGCCCGCCGCGGTCTCTGCCGCCCCCCCCACGCTGCAGTTCTCAACCGCCGCTGAAGCAGCGCCCCGAGTCCCGGCGTTCAGGATTCTGCCGTTGAGAGCAGCCTTCCACTCTAGCTGATTCCTGGGTCGCGATCTTGCACTTGAAACAATAAATCTGTTTTGTTAAGGGAGAGGAAGATATCGGAGAAATCACTTTGATTTTGCAGCAGTGAAGAAGTGTGAAGAAATGGGCAGCCTTTTTTTTTTTTTTTTTAGAGTGCAGCTACCTGCTTGCAAGCAGGAAGGTTGCGCCGAATTTAGCCTTCCAAGTGCTCCTGATTTCACAGTAGGAAAGAAGCACCGTGTTACAAATCTTTTACATCTACACCAAGCAAAAAGCAGCCTTGCTCTTGCCTGCAGGTGCAGATTTCCCCTTTGCTGGAGCTGCAGGGTCAGAGCACGCTGCGGAGCTGCGCCTCCCAGCTGGACCCCGTCTGCACCTTATCAAACCCCTCAGTCCACGGCCGGGCTCTCCTTCACAGCCTGTGTCAGAAATCCCGTTAGTGTGTGTGGCTGGTTTTCAACCACGTGCATTAGGCGCCGAAATGTGGACAATTTGATCTATAGGTACATATTTGTCTTGTGTGTTTCCTGCCTGACTGTACACATCTGCATTCGCATGTGCCTGCGTATGTTTTGGTGTCTAGCTGGGTGGCCCCGGTGCCACCGCTGGGCTGTGCAGGGGGTGTCCCCGCAGGGCGGCCCGTGCCCCGTGCCTGGGTGCTGCTCACGGCCGCGCGCGCTCAGCCCGGCGCTCGCCTTCCCCGCGGGAAGCGCATCCGCGTCGCCGCTCCGAGCGAACAGCAGGGACAGCTCCGAGCAATTGGGAACCGCCAGTAGAACGCGCAATTCTCGTCAAAGGGAAGATGTGAAATAGGCCATTTTTGCACCATTTTACTCAATCTTAATAGCAGAAAATGCTTAGCCTAAAACACCATGGAACGGTCGGTCTGTGCTGGGCTCCGGAGCGGGAGCAGGTTGTGCGGTCTCTGAGCACGCAGAACGGCCAAGTGGTAAAAATGGCACACGTGGGCACTAGCCCTCTGCTTGGAACTCTGCTCAGAGGTTTTGTGTTACGCAGGAATACATCTGCCAAGGACAGGATTTGAGGTAGCGCGCGATGCTGCTCTGCACGTTCTTGCTCCTGATGATTGTAGGAGAATTATTTCTCGATGTGATTTTTCTGGTTGCAGTACATGGGCTTGTGAAGTGTTGAACCAACAAATCCTGGCAGAGTTCAGAAAACTAGAGCATCATTTAACTCTGTGTGTGTGTGTGTATAAAAAAAGGCTGGATGTCTGGGTAGACCTCCATCTGGCAGAGCTTATATCTGTTAGGTCATACAGAGAAAGCTTTTGGCACCGACTTTCTGGCACGAAGCTTTGTCTGGAAACATATTTAGTGGAGGTACGAAACGGGATGGCTCCGGTAGCTCGGATGTGTCGGCGGCTCCTCGGGCAGAGCGGGGCTCCAGCCCCACCTGGTGTCGGATGAGGACTGATGTTGCAGCCAGCTCTCGGCCAGGGAGGGCCCCGTGCCAGCACGAGGCAACGGGCAAATTTATCCCAGCATCAGGTTTTCCTGATGGTTTATCTGGTTGCCACGCTGATGTAAAGCCTTGCTGCAGCCTTGGTGAGCACAGCAGAGCACCTCATGGATGAGTGAAATTGCAGAGCCTCTCTGAGAACTGCTGCTTTGGCTGGCCAGGCTTGTTAGTATTCAAGGGTATCCGTGCCAGCAGCAAGTGCATTTGCACACAAAGCCTATCAGAAAGAATATCAGCATATCAGGGTTGTCGATGCCTGTGTTTACAGATGTTGTGCTGAATTCATGAGGACTCCTTCACCTCGGTAAAATCTGTTAGATAATGTTTGAGTTATGCAATGTGGATAAAGAGACCAGACCTGTGGATTTGGCTGAGAAAGCTTGAAATCTTCAGACCTTAATTTAGGAAATTCTCATTTCCTGGACCTGAATGTTCCAAGGACTGTAAAGTACAGCAGATCCATGTTTGGGTTTTGCTTGAGGCTGATCATTTCGGGAAATAGTCAGACTCGACCTGCAGCAGACTTTAAAATATCTGAGGGTAACGCTTTTCTTGGGGACTAGGAGGATTAGCTACACATGAAAGAATTTTCTAGGAAGGTCACCCCAGGTTTTTTTCTTTTTTAATCTATTAAGAGAATTCGATAAAGTTTATCTAAAAATAGCAAGAATAACAGTCCAGCCCGCCTCTTCCGCCGAAGTATCTGTCCAGTAATAATTTAACTTGAAGAAAACGGTAGTAAAATGCCAGAAGAGTTTGGAATTGCTCGAACATATTTTCCCATTTAAGCTGAGCTCATTCACATTTGAAGCTAAAACAAATTATCTGTAATATATTTGAGAGGCTAAAACCTACTCTTACTTCCCTGTCTCACATTTAAATGGTTATGTCTGTGACAATATACACTAATCTTTGGCTTTAAATCCTCTTCTCAGCATTTGATTTATTGGGCAAAACTGCAGGTCAATGGTCCTGAACTAGTCAGAGAATTATTCTCAATCCTCAGTCATTGCCATTTCTCTCTCTTTTTCAATTTCAGCAAAAACAGCTAAGACATCAAGAAAGGCTCCTTAGTTATTCGGAGTCATTGTGGAGAGCGCAGCAGAAGCCGGAACAGTCAGAAGCAGCAAGGGTAACGGTTACCTTCGTCCTCCCCATTCTTATCCTCATTTTCTCTCCGTTTCAGAACGATCGCTGCTTGAACCAGGAGCCCCGCGAAGGGAGCAGTGGGAACACGTGGATGAAGTTCTTGCCATGCACTGAGCAGCACAGCATCAAGCGCGAAGCTCGGGGAAGATGTCTGCTTGCAACACGTTCACTGAGCACGTCTGGAAGCCTGGAGAATGTAAGAACTGCTTCAAGCCTAAAAGCTTGCACCAGTTACCCCCAGACTCCGAAAAGAAAAACCTCTCCCATGGAAATCTGAAAACCAATGCAAACCAAAGCAACAGCCATCGCAGCAGAAATACAGGGAATTTCCGTCCACCTGTGGCAAAGAAACCCACTATAGCTGTGAAACCCACCATGATGGTGGTAGATGGGCAGGGTGTGTGCAGTGAAATCAGTGCCCCGGATCATTGCGAGAATAAATCAGGGCCCGCTGGGTGGAACCGAAACAAAGCTGTCTTGAACAAAAAACCACTGAACAATAATAATGAAGATGAAATTGAAGGTTATAGCCATGTTCATAGGCCTTATGGCAACAATGATGGCATGAGTAAGATACCAAGTAACAATAATAATGGACTGACAGAAGTGTTGAAGGAGATTGCAGGTTTGGATACCACACCTCAGCTACCTGGAAATGAAATGAACTCGAGAGAGACCTTCTTGGGAAGAATAAATAATTGCTATAAAAGATCACTGGAAAGAAAGATCCCTCCAAGCTGCATGATGGGTGGAATGAAGGATTCGCACAGTAAGCATGTTATTCTGAGTGGAAGCACTGAAGTCATAAGTAATGAAGGCGGCCGTTTCTGTTATCCAGAGTTCTCTAGTGGAGATGAGAGTGAGGATGATACATTTTTTGGCAGCATGCAAGAAGAGCACGAGAGCTGGGATGAAAGCGATGAAGAGCTGCTAGCAATGGAAATCCGCATGAGGGGCCAGCCTCGCTTTGCGAATTTTAGAGCTAACACGCTCTCTCCTGTTCAGTTCTGTGTTGACAAAAAATGGAATACCGTGCCCCTCCGAAACAAGTCTCTCCAGCGGATCTGCGCAGTGGACTATGATGATAGTTACGATGAAATTTTAAATGGCTATGGGGAAGAGGTGATCCTCTACGGGCAGGAGAGCATGCAGAGCATGGTATCCTCCGATTCCACATCTCCCGATTCTTCTTTGACTGAAGAGTCTCGTTCCGGAACGGCCAGCAGCTCCTCGCAGAAGCTCTGCAACGGGGGCTTATCTCCCAGTACTCCTCAGGACGTCAAGCTGATTGATCCGGAGTATGAAAGTCTGTGTGGCGATCAGCAGGTGAAGGATGTGTCAAAAGTTTCTCGAAATGCCCCAAAAGGTCTAGAAACCCACAAGGCAGTCCTTGCTCTTCGACTGGAGGAGAAAGATGGCAAAATTGCCGTGCAGACTGATAAGCAAGAGAATAAAAGTTCTTCAGATGTTGCTGGTCAAGCTGTGACTATAAATCTGGTGCCTGTGGAAGAGCAAGCCAAGCCTTACAGGGTAGTGAACATGGAACAGCCAGTTTGCAAGCCATATACCGTAGTAGATGTATCAGCTGCCATGACCAGTGAATGTAAGGAGAATCAGACCGAAACCTCAGAAACCAAAAGCACATCATCTAGCCCAAATTCACCAGGAGCTGCCGGCACACCTCTCGCATCCTCTGCAGCTTCACCTGCACGAGTCAATGCTAATCTGAAAAAATCCAGCGCAATTAGGTATCAGGAAGTGTGGACTTCTAGCACTAGCCCAAGACAGAAGATACCGAAGGTGGAGTTAATTGCTAGCAGCTCAGGACCTTCTGTTCCTCCTAGAAAGGCCAGCCACAAGTCGGCTCCTACTTCACCAACAGCTACAAATGTTTCTTCAAAAACTATCCCAGTTAAGTCTCCCAATTTATCAGAAATAAAATTCAACAGCTACAACAACGCTGGAATGCCACCTTTTCCCATTATAATTCATGATGAGCCTACTTACGCAAAGAGTTCCAAAAATGCTATTAAAGTTCCCATTGTAATTAATCCAAATGCCTATGATAATCTGGCTATCTATAAAAGTTTTCTAGGGACCAGCGGAGAGCTCTCTGTCAAAGATAAAACTACAAGTGTAATAAGCCACACGTACGAAGAAATAGAAACGGAAAGCAAGCGGAGTGAAACTGCAGGGAACAAGCACGCTGAGCCTGCTCAGGGCAAGGGGGGCACTACCAGCACAGAGTGCAGGCTGGGCTCCGTGGCGCAGAAGGTCCAGGAGTTTAACAGCTGCCTCGGCAAAGGTCAGATATCACCACAGAGGAGTCACAGTTCTGACCACAGTTCCCCACCGAAAATTCAAAAGACAAGTCAAGAGCCTGCAGCAAAAATAGAAGGAACGCCGGAGGCTTCTGCAGGCAGCAGCAGCAGCAGAGAGAATGCGAGCGCGGTGCTTTCCCAGATCGTGGCCTCCATCCAGCCTCCCCAGACTCCTCCACAAACACCTCAGGCTGGACCCAAAACTTGTAGTGCAGAAGAGCTCTATTCCTTACCCCCTGATGCAGACGCTACTAAAAACACCCTGGTACGGCCCAAATCTCTGTTTACACCACAGGCTGAAGTGGAGTCGCCCAAGACTCTGGACAGCGCTGCCACGAAAGCGCAGAAAGATGCAGGAGCGCAGCCAGGCGCCACCCCTTCCCCAAAGCCAGGGAGAGGCCTGCAAAACACCACGAGTCCCAAAGCGGAGCAGGCGCCACCCTTTCCTCCGCCAAGGTCCACGTCTTCACCCTACCACGCAAGTAACTTGTTGCAAAGACATTTCAGCAATTGGGCCAAACCGACTAGTCCCACTCGGTCGACGGAGGCCGAGTCGATCCTCCATTCCGAGGGCCGCCGAGCTGCAGACGCGAAGCCCAAGCGCTGGATATCTTTTAAGAGCTTCTTCCGCCGCCGAAAGACCGATGAGGAGGAAGACAAAGAGAAGGAAAGAGAGAAGGGAAAGCTGGTGGGTCTCGATGGGACTGTTATACATATGCTCCCCCCTCCTCCGGTCCAACGGCATCATTGGTTCAGCGAGTCCAAATCCGACTCCAGCGAGAAGCCCTCCATTGTGTTCATGTACAGATGTGAGCCAGCCCAAGGCGAAGCGAGGGCTGAGCGTCAGAACGCGGCTGCCGTGGAGTCTGCCCTCGCCGGCGCGCTCGCAAAGGACAAGGGAGAAACACAGGAAAACGCTCCGGAGAGCTCCGAGCAGAAAACAAAGAGCTGTTCTTCACCATCCCAGACTCCCAGGAAAATCCCCAGGTAATCTGCTCATCTTATTCATTCCCAGCATCGTTTTCATTCTCGTTCAGCTGTGCCTGAGTGCCCTGTATATACTGTAGAAAAGGGAGGAAAATAAGGAGTATTATTGCATTAAATGTGAGATTGAAAATATATATTTATTTTAGGTATCTTAAAGCATTATTTTGCTTAAGCAAAGATCCTCTGCAAAAAATAACTAGCAACAATACCCAGTATTTGAGTTTGTGTCACAAGTTCTTCAAAACGTTCCGAAAGCAAGGTTATATTGCATCAGATATGCTATTTCTACCTTAGGAAAGTGTTGTTAGGTTATAGAAAAACTAAAGAATCCCTCTGCAAAAATAGAAAGTCACTATTTAATAGCAAAACGGAAACTGAAAGAACAGTGACTCACAGGATGTGGTGTGTTAAGTCTATCTCGCGCACCGGCAGCGCAAGGTGCCCAAACAAAGTTCACGTTGGAATGAAGCAGCCCTGCGACCCTCATAAAACGAACTATGTGCAAAAAATGGTAACTGAAGTGCATTATTTACAAAATAATCTCTCTCTGTTTTGAAAGGCCTTTATGATGATCAATAATTTGTCCCATAATGGTATTGGGGTTCCGCAGAGCTGACTGCTGTTTCTGCCTGGCAATTTAATTCATTAACTAATTTCATTTTTTTAAAAACAGAATTTGCTAAAATCATTTTTGCTTTGATTTTTTTCTAATTTTTTTGGTCAAGATGTATTTATTTTGCTCCCTGAAATCCGTGGCAGTGCAACATGTTAGGTCTTGATTCAGAGGTCTGCCTGCTCCCCTGTCAGGAGTCCACGTGCTTGGTCGTCTCCGAGCTCCTCGGAACGGTGGCTGTTCCCAACGCGCCGTTTTCCAGCGTGCTGCCGGGGCGGCGCGAGGGAGCTGGGCACGTCCGTGGCGCTGGGGGCGTTTCGCAGGGCAGGCCGTGTCCGCCGAGCTGCTCCGAGTGCTCCGAGTTCTTGTCCGGGACACAAGGGGAGGGCGGTCTCTGGAAACCCAGCGCGTCTCCGCTGCTCCAGGCTTGGGTGAACAAGGCCGCGGGCACCGGGGAGCCGTCCCGCATGGACCAGCTCTTGGGAGGACCCTCCTTGGAGGGAATGGAGAGGAACAGGCAGCTTCAGAGAGCACCTCAGAGCGTCAGAGAAGGCTGTTCTCTCAGGAGTCCCTTTATAGGAACCCCATTTTCCAGCACGGAAGCGGTGAGGAAGGAGTAACAGCTTATCTCAGTGGTAAGGGCCATGACAGGCTAATGGCCATGATCATAGTTAGCATTTGTTCCTAAACTACCCTTGGGATGGTCACCCTGTTCTATAGTCTTGTGGTACCACACAACATCTTTTACTATTGAAAGGAACTGTTGTCGTCTCCTGTCTTATTCCAGAAAGCGTTTTTACTTCTCATTTTTCTGCAAGTTGTGGTAATAGTGGCTAAAACCATAGAATAATTTTCACTGGTGAAAATTGTAATCAGAATTTCTCAAGAGTTAGAGCTGGATTTTTTTCTTTCTAACAATACTGCTCTATTCGTTCTACAAATTTTTAAGAACATTCACTCAGTTATTGAGAAAGAGCCAGTCAGGAGACTGGATGATCTATATCTTGATCTTTCAGTTGTTCTTTTTGATACCTTTAGTTTTTGGGCTCTTTTTCTTTGCTTTGAGTATTGCTAGGGAGACTTACATCGCTAAGAAGCCTTACAATGCCAAAAATAAGGTTATTTTTGTTTAAGGATTTTTGAATATATTTTTTTAATATTCCAGTAGGTGAGAATCAGGCTTGTCAACTTCCATTTTTGTCCAAGGAGGAGACATAACAGATGAAATTCCTTAGCTGTTAGTAAAAGGTTTATGTTAATTCAGGCCAAAATATGTGCATCAAAAAGATGTTTAGAATTTTCAGTTAAGCTTGCAGGAACCTTAGAGGAAAACTGAAGACATGAAGATAGCAATCAGTGAAGATGACACTTTTCTAAGAGGGAACACCAACAACTGTAAGCTCTCCGAAAAACCAAGCTGATGACCTGGAAAATCAGATAAGCTTAAGAAATGTCAGATTACTGGGGGTCTTGAAAGCATGTTAAATGAAAATACAATATTTCCTTGCTTTGCAGTGGATTGCAAAGCTGGTAAAGATTGATAACTCGAAATACCTGCCACTCTGTTTTGTGGTCATGTTATCCCTAGAAAGGTCAGTTTATCCTTTATAAAAGCACTTGCAGACTACGCAGTTCTTTGGGAGGCTGAAAGTATCTGTGTCTGCTACAGAGAATGGTGTTTATCCAGGTGATAGTTTCTTTAGGTTTGGTGTCAGCATGCATATGTGGTAGTTCAAAAAGAGCTAGCTAATAGCGAAGTAGGATCTGACTTTATCTCTGTTCCAAAATTAAAATTCATTACAGTTTAAAATTTCATGCTTTTGTAATCCCTTTCTAAGGAATTTTACAAAGAAAATGACAAACCAGAATTTATAATAACGAAGATTTTACCAAGACTTTTTAGGCAGAATAGCCTCTTTTTCTAAAAATGAGTCGTATCCGTAACCTGATGAACATCTGTCTGCCAGAGCACCCGCAGCTCATTTTTCCCGATGCACACGTTGGCTAAAGCCAACCTCTGAAGAGGTGAGGTGACAACGCTTGTGGCCGAAGCCTCCGTGCCTGTTGCAGGTGGCACGGCCCGTTTCCGAGCCCGTGCCAAGCGGGAAAAGAAGGGTCTTTATATTCCTCCAAGGTCCCTGTTACGCCCTGGTTCAGGCTGCACCTACTGGACCTTCACAAAATACGGACTTTTCTTCTCCTTAACTTAGCAATCGTTGGTGAAGCTCTGTGTTTAGACTGAGACGTGTTCCCTGAAAGGAATTTACAGGGCAGCCTTCTGAGTCTTCCTCTCTACCTCTCTAAACTACATCGGAGCTGAATTAAAAGTCTCCTTTAGTGTTGCTTTGAGACAGTGGTGCCTGTGAAATCAAGATGCAACTGATTTATGAGCAGGCACATTTCAATTTCAGTTACATTTTAAACTAAATTGTTCCCTATCATAGCTACATGAATACATACACTCATGAATTTCCTTTATTGCTTCTTTGGGCCAGACTTGGATGAACAAAAGATAAAGTTGCATTGTATCTGTTTACTGAAACTCTTCCTTCAGGTAGTGAGGTCTGTGTAATTCATTCTCTTCTGGCTTAGATAAGAAACCATTTCTTCAAATCTGCACTTGGGATTAGGAATCGAATTCCTAAAATGGGCATTTTGTTAACTCTTTGGCAAAAGGATGGGGAGCTGAGCTAGTACCAGATAGGGGTGAGCTCCCTTTTCTGGGGCTGCAGCACAGCTCTGTCCTCATGCTGTAGCTTCCTTGTGAAAACATATACTGCCATATATGTATACATTTTAAAAAGTGGTTTAGAAGTGTGGGGCTTTCTTGGGGAAAAAAAATCATTTTCTCCATTGTATTTACATGGTACATCAGCAATTTGGGCTAAGGCTATTATATTAATATGTATGTATGTATGTTATACCCTGAGTGCTTTAGCAGGTTCTGTTCTCAACAGGGTACATGGGAATGTCTTCCTACCCTTCAAGAGTTACCCCAATGCTAGGCTTATGTATTGTACAAAGAATTCACCTCTGCTTGTTCTTCGCAGGCAAATTGCCACTCTTACAATTCTCATATATGTCAGTGACAGCTGGGACTCTGTTAGAACAGAGAGTAGCCCAAGACTTGCACAGCTCCTCCCTGCCCGGAGGGGTTTCGGGGGTATCGGCGACCCTCAGATGCTCTCTGTGGGTCTGGTGGCCTTGCGGTCACCCCGGTCTGTTCACGCTGTTTGCTTTGAATTGCCCTGAGGCAAATGTGATTTTAAGAACCCGAGTCAGGAATCTGCTTTCCATATATAGGCAGTGGAGAAGGACGACGCTGCGGAGGAGGTTCAGAGCACCAGAGCTGAACAGGGTCTTACCAGAGACAGGAAGGAAGGATCACGAGCAGGTGTTTTCTCATTATCATTGATCCAGGTCCTGCGGATCCCATAGCTATATCAGAAAGAAAGAGAACAAAATATTTTAAATGGAAATAATACTCTGTTTAAATCAAAGCCCTTCCCAGTTTAAAGACTCTTCTTTTGCTTGTAAGGGCATTAGCCACCTATCTTAGCATTTCACCTATGGAAAACTTCTGTGAGATTTCTCCCAAGAACATCTATATACTATCAGAAAGCAAACATTTTGCATGTTTAATACACAAGCGCAGGTAAACTTTTATGTGAAGCGGATTTGTAGAAGATAAGTGTTAAATAGCAAATTAGAAGGGATTTTATCATTTGTTATTTTAGAAATGCAGGTAAGGAGTAATACATCTAGGCATCTTCTCATTGCCTCCAGGCTGTAGAATGGGGAGACAGAAAAGTTAAAATGTCTAAAGAAAACTTTTTAAATGAAATGTGTGGCTAATATGTGGCATTCACTGCTGCTAAGTGTCACTGACACTAAAGAGCTTGGCGGGTTGTCTGTACAGGATTATCCGGCGTACACCCTTTATCCACACAAACATCGCATTATGCAGGGTTATAAGAAAATAAAGGAGTATGAATTCTTTTGCTTCAGAAAGAAGCCAAATTCCAAATAAGATGAATAAGAAATAAACTTTGCTTCAGAAAGAAGCAAAATTCCAACTAAGAAGAATTAGAAATAAACTCTCCGTGTGGCTTTAGACCCTCCGTTGGCGGTGAGTTTAACTGTTGTTTCTCTTCCCGCGCGGGCGGCAGTTTCTGGCTGGGCTGTGGGGGGTCGGTGACGTGCGGGCTGCGCGTCCCGGCCCACGACAAGCCGGGTCAGCCCCCGTCGCCAGCCTCCTCCTGGGCTCAGCCCTGGGGACACGCAGCGCCTGAGCGCTCGCTCAGGCTCCGGCACCGGGCGGCCTTTGCTCGCCCTCCATCCAGTGACCTCTCTGCCCTTTCCTCCAGCGCTGTGAGGTTGGACTTTGTTTGCTTAAAACCACAGGGGGTCTCTGAGGGCTTCCTTTGAGTATATCTGAAGGTGCCACAGGCTTTCCGCGCGGAGACCCTTCCTGCCAGCATCCTGTGTTGCGGCCGTTCTCCGGGCCTCGGCGAGGAGGGCAAGGCCGCTGCTTGTCCCGGCAGGAAGCTGGTTCCGGTGCCGGGTGGATCCGCGGCGCGTGGATCCGCAGGGCTGTTATCTGGCACACAGCTATTTTTATGGCAGACGTTTTTGCGTAATCGTCGCTGCTTAGGAGAACGCACGTGATGCCTGTGCGTGCCCGGCCGCTCCCTCCGCTGACGGAGTCGCCGCTGGGGTTCGGCCTCCCGAGGCGATGCCTTCCCGCCGCTCGGAGCGGCCTCTCCGGGGGAAGCTCCCGTTCCAGGCGTCACGGCCTCTCCCTGGCTAAAGATCTGGGCATATCCCAAATAAGGGAATGGCTTTCAGTGTCCCGTGCAGGCTCAAACCTCCCACAAGACCAGTTTTTCCCAAGTCCGATCCCAGCCAGTGGCTCCTTCCTCAGCCGCTCTGCTTCTCCAGGCAGCTGGTAGGTTTTTAACCGCTTAGACCCTCACACGGAGCAAAAGCACTTGCAAATTCACTCCCGAAGGCTAGGGAGCGAGGGCAGGCTTCCCGCTGCGCTGCGGGCGATGCTCGTGGAGCCGGGGACGCGCCTCCTCGCGCCCGGAACGCCCGCTCGGGGCATCCGCTTGGTGTGGAGCCCTGCGGAGCGGGGACGCGCCTCCTCGCGCCCGGAACGCCCGCTCGGGGCCTCCTCTTGGTGTGGAGCCCTGCGGGCGCCCTCGCC